GCAAAATTGGTCATTCACTTTTCTGATTGTTTGTGGGACGTTGCTGCTGTGTTCACATTTTACAATATATCATGTGAAGCTTTGAGACGTCTTGATAACATGAAAAGTTCATTATCAAATACAAGGATTGTTATTTTTTAAAAATGGGCTTCTTTTCTTTTTTAATTGATGGTCTTTTGCATTGTAGGTGCTCAATTCTTGTGTTTCCTGAGAGAAATGCCAATGGGTAAAGATACATAGGTTTGAGGAGACTGAGGTTTGAGTTGAATGCACAAGATCATGTCTCATGTGCCAGGGCTCTGATGAAAGGTCAATCACCCAATATATTAACTTAGCCAAATACTCAATACATTAACAGAAAGCAAAGTACTGCAGATGCTGGAAATCTGGTATAAACACAGAAGTCGCTGGGAACACGTAGCAGGTCAAGCAGCATCCATTCTGCATTCATTCAGCATTCCACTTCAGATGAAAGGTCATAGACCTGAAACGTTAACTCATTTTGCTCTCTCCATGGATGCTGCCTGACCTGCTGTGTGGTCCCAGCGACTTCTGTGTTTATACTCAATACATTAACTTAGCCAATTACCCAATACATTAACTTAGCTAAATACTCAATACATTAACTTAGCTGTTTTTTCTCAAATGTTGATTGATTTGCTGTGGATTTCGGGCATTTTATGTTTTTCTGCATCTGCAGGTTGACATTTTTATTTCTTTATTTCAAACATCCTGTGACCTCTGAGCGTGAACACCCGTGGAGAATTTTGTGTATGTTTTCTTGTGTCCACAAGGTTGACAGGGCCCAGTTGACATAGATTCATACAGATAGAAGAGAAGAGACTTTTATTCCATAAATCTGGACTAGACCACGTCACAGAAGAGAAAGGCCCACATTCAAACTGATTGCACAATCCAGTCTTAAGCACTCTCCCTGCAGACTACACGCCTCCACAAAAAACACCCTGAGCTACTAAATGAGACTGCACACTTCCTGTTACAATGTGTAGATTAGATGCATACTAATTATTTTAAAAAGGGGATTAGATAAGTGACTTAACACCTTCCAGGTTACTGACATTGAAGGAAAATTTGGTAGAGACCTGGGACTATCCTGTTGGCAGTTTTCAAAGGAGCAGAGAAAAAAGTCAGACGGTGAGCAATGAGGAACAAGGTTTGAAAATGATTTCTGACATTTACCATCCTGATTCATTTTTCCTCAGAAGTTTTACAATCACGTGTCTCTTGTCGGTTTCCTTTAAACTTCATATTTAGCTCAACAATGCAATTGATCTGACTCATTGCTCTTCATCATATAATTTCCCTACAAAATACACCAATCAACATAGATTCTTACAGACAAAAGAGAAGAGACTTTTATTCCAATAAATCTGGACTAGGCCAGGTCACAGAAGGGAAAGGCCAATGTTCTAACCGATTGCACAAACCAGTCTTAAGCACTTTAACTGCAATGGTAAAGGGCTGGACTCTCCACTAGGAAACTTGCTATAATTTCCTTTTCCATAATACTGAAACTTGCTACTTTGAAAATGTCAACAGCCTTGATGCCTTGTCTAAAGAGCATTGAGGGAAAGCAAAACTATAATGCATATGTCCATCAGTCCTGAATTATATTCTTCATAAAGCTGCAAGCATTAACTTTTCTATACCCTTGCCTAGGGGAACCATATTTTGTAAACAAAATCTAGGGTCACATATAAAAAAAATCGAACTATTTGGGGAAAAAAAACACCAGCACAAACTTGATGGGTTGTATGGTCCTTTTCTCTGTTGTCAAGTTGTATAGAGGGAATCTGAATATTACAAGTGTGACGTGAACACCACAAAAATATGATAGTAATTATAATCCTTGCATTTGATGTAGCACCTTACAACGTTGCTGAGGCGTCCCAGCACGCTTCACAGAATACATTGCAAAATGAATTGACTCTGTAGTTTTTTGGCGAAATGATGTGTCACAAACAAATGATACAATGGCAAATGACATCAGTGCATTACGTGATTACAAAGCAAAACAGAAACTGCTCTTTAACAATGGTGTATTTTGTTGGTTGCCCCTCTTGTCCTGTGACTGTGGTCTCTGTCATGTGGCTACTGACAGATATTGTGAGTCACTAATTTTGGCCACCCTTACTTTCTTAATGTAAACATTAAAAATTCCACTTATTTTTAAAGGTGCATTCCTGGATGGTGGATTTACTGTAAACATGGATTTACTGTAAAGTCTAGTGACTGTGTAATTTGAAGGCGAACTCACAGCTCCTGTGGACTTGAAGCCAAATCTTCTAAGGATTATTTACTCTTAACCAAATGCACATAAAATATATAAGCAACCCACTTTACAATATCAAAACACAAAATACTGCAGATGCTGGAAATCTGAAACAAAAAGAGAGCTGAGAAAACTCAGCAGGTCAGGCAGCATCTGTGGAGAAAGGAAAGTGAGTCAACGTTTCGGGTCCACGACCCTTCGTCAAAACTGGGGCAACTGGGTGGGTCCCTGGCAGATAGATAAGAAAGTTTTTAACTCACAGTCCCGTTCACAGTCTGACCTCTCCGTCCATGGTCTCCTACTCTGTTCCAATGATCCACAGCAAAAGCTTGAGGAACAGCATCTTATCTATATGTAGGAGTGCTTGTAGCTCAGTGGTTAGAGCACTCGCCTGGCAAGCGAGAGACCTGGGTTCAATTCCATGCAGGTCAGTTGCATGGAAGTTTCAGGTAAGTTTCCTTACTCCACACAGAGCCTAATAATAATCCCTCCAAAACAAAACAATAATAAGTTGGTCATTTTCAATCCACGACTGTTTGTGGGACACTGCTGTGCGCAATTGGCTGCCGCGTTTCGCCCACAAATATACAGTCAATTCACTTTACAGCATATTCTGAGAAGCGCTTTGAGATGTCGAGAAGACGTGAAAAGCGCTATATCAAATGCAAGGATTATTATAATTTTTTATTTATCTGCTAGGTACCCTACAGCCCTCTGGCCTCAATATCGATTTCAGCCACTTTAGACCATAACAGCTCACCTTCCGCCCTCCCCCTCTTTCTGTTATCAGAAGAGTTATCTTCTGTTATCATTACAATCATCATCCCAGACACTTTTTGTCTCTCTCTTGTGTGTTGCCTGTTCTGCACTATTAACACCTTTTCTCCCCAGTTTTGTTTCAACCCACCCACACTTTTGTTTTACGCCACCATCATCTCTTTAACCCATCAACTAACACATTCTCTCCTTTGTCTTTTTTTTTGTCTTCTTTGTCGTCCTTGTCCTGCCTCCCCCTCTCAACTTGTCCTTAAAAATCTCTGCCTCCCAACATGCCCCAGTTCTGACGAAGGGTCATGAACCCGAAACATTGACTCACTTTCCTTTCTCCATAGATGCTGCCTGACCTGCTGAGTTTTCCCAGCTCTCGCTGTTTTTGTTCCACTTTACAAAATATTCTGTGATGCACTTTGAGACGTCTCAACAACGTGGAGTCCTGTAGCTCAGTGGTTAGAGCACTCGCTTTGCAAGCGAGAGACCTGAGTTCATTTCCAGGCAGAGGGCGAAACCTTGGGCAAGTTTCCTTACTCCACACAGAGCCTAATAATAATCCCTCCAAAACCAAAACAATAATAAATTGGTCATTTTCAATCTACGACTGTTTGTGGGACATTGCTGTGCGCAATTGGCTGCCGCGTTCGCCCACAAATATACAGTCAATTCACTTTACAGTGTGTTCTGTGAAGCGCTTTGGGACGTCCTCCCGACGTGAAAAGCGCTATATCAAATGCAAGGATTATTATTATTATTATTATTATAAGGCACTATATCAAAATGCAAGAATTATAAATCAACAGAGCCCCTGGCAGCAGTGTCTGTATTTGTCCCATAGCTTAGTGGTTAGAGCACTCGTCTCGCAAGCGAGAGGATCCGGGATCGATTCCTGAGCAGAGCGAAACCTTATGACATGTTTCCTTATTGCACAATCCTCTGCTTACCTGGCAGTAAGTAGGAACCCAGTTGTTAGTCAATTGGTGGATTGCTTTATGGGGGTAATAATAAAAAAATTGGTCACTCAATCCACAACTGTTTGTGGGACACTGCCGTGCGCAATTGGCTGCCGCGTTTCGCCCACAAAATACGCAGTCAATGCACTTTACGGTACATTCTGCGAAGCGCTTTGAAACGTCTCGACGACGTGATAAGGCGCTACATCGAATGCAAGGATTATCGTTATTATTATTATCATAGATGGGAAGCTAAAGCGCTGGCACAAAATAATATGAATAATAATAATCATCATCATCATCTTGCACTCTTGCCTTTCAAGTCGGGAGAACTTTCAAAGCGCTTCGCGGAACTGACTGCGGAGTGTAGTGACTGTGCCTTTTTTTTTCAGGCACACGGTTGTGCATTGCTCTGTGTCTCTACTGGCACTCTCTCCACAAACCCCCTCCCTCCTTCCTCACCCCCTCCCCACCCCCCCCTCCCCCACCCCCCCCCCCACCCCCCACCCCCCACCACACACTTTCCTCCCGCAGCATTGACTTTGCTCTGAGATGCCGATTGCCAGGAAAGGAAAGGAAAGGAAAGGAAAGGTGCAGTTACCTCTGCAAAGCGGAGGAAGGAGAGAGAGAGAGAGACACACACACACACACAGACACAGAGAGACAGAGACGCGCAGTCCTGGCGCAGCGCAGCGCTGCTGCAGATGGAGGTGATGGAGATGGAGGTGATGATGGAGGAGGAGGTGATGGAGGAGGAGGAGGAGGAGTAGGCGATGGAGATGGAGGTGATGGAGGTGGTGGTGGACGTCAATCAGCCCCCGGGGGGCAGAGGCAGCCGAGTGGAAAATAATCATCAGCCAAAAAAACGACACCAAAACAAAACAACACAACACACAGCACAACACAGCACAGCCCTCCCTCTCCCCTCCCTCTACCCCCTCCCCCCTCTCCCCCCCCCCTCACCCCTCCCTCCCCCTCTCCCCCCAAAAACAAAAACTCCCGACTGCGACATTGACGCAATGGCACCGCAGAAAAGACCGAACGACGGAACGAATAAGGTGAGGAATTCCTTTAACTCGTAAACATTTACTGGATTCGTCGAGAGCCGCGGAAAGGCGAGTGTGTGAGTGAGTGTGTGAGTGAGTGAGTGTGTGTGTGAGTGAGTGTGTGATGTGTGTGAGTGAGTGTGAGTGTGTGATGTGAGTGTGTGTGTGAGTGAGTGAGTGTGTGAGTGAGTGTGTGATGTGTGTGAGTGAGTGTGAGTGTGTGATGTGAGTGTGTGTGTGAGTGAGTGAGTGTGTGAGTGAGTGTGTGTGTGTGTGTGAGTGTGTGTGTGTGTGAGTGAGTGTGAGAGTGTGTGTGTGGTGTGTGAGTGAGTGTGTGTGTGTGAGTGTGAGTGAGTGAGTGTGAGTGAGTGTGTGGTGTGTGTGAGTGTGTGTGTGCAAAAAAAATAAACCTGTGCTACCTGTTTGTGAGTATGTGCTGTTTGCTGCTGCTGTTGGGGTGAGGATGGATGGAGGGAGGGATGGAGGGAGGGAGTGGAATCATATGGTTGTTCCCAACTCAAGGCTTTCCTGCTGTTTGTTGCATAAAAATGTGTGTGTGAAGGGGAACCAGGAGTGGAGGGGTTGAGGGGTTGGGGGGGGGGTTGAAAGTGGAGATGTTTTATTTATTCTCAATCCCTTGCAGCCTCTGCAATTGTGACCCCCCATCCCCCCACAAAAAAAATAAAAATAACCTGCTGGTGCAAACACTTGTCAACAAGAGGTTTTGCTCTTAGAGAGAGAGAAAAAAAACAACCACCATCACCTCCCCCCTCCCCCACCCCAAAAAAAAATGTTTTTTTTAAAAAAGAAAATATCTTGTGTGTGTGTGTGTGTGTTATCCCGTTTGTGAGTTTCTCTTCTGGGGGTGTTTGTGCTTCCAACTTCCCAACACCACACGTCTTCTTTTTTTTAAAAATAGTATTGGAAGAAAAGAGATATGTTAATCGTTGTATTGGTTCATCATAAAAGGCGTTATATCAAATGCAAGGATTGTTATTGCTGTTATTATTACATACAAGTGACATCTAAATGGAGCTGTGGTATTCTAATAGTTGTGAATCTTTACCTGTATTACTAGTGAACATGTGTATTTTAGAGTTACATCTCATTTGCTCCACACCCCCTCTCTCTCTCTCCCCCCCCTCGTCTCTTTATTAACACATTCGGTCAAGCGCACTGAAGGATGAAAATAATACTTCCTTTTTAGATCAGTGATTTAGGAGGGTTCCACAACACCAAACTCTAACGTGCTGCAAGACCTGATCTCTTGCACAGTGGAAGGTATTCTGCTGTAAATAACAACAATAGTACATGGCTGTTTGTGGGACCCTCTGCTTTTGATGTACAAAAACAGTCACTACGCTTGACTGTAATTCCTTGTAAAGCCTTTGAGATGTTTTGACATAAGACGCTACACAAATGCAAACCGTTTCTTTTTTCGAAGATGTTTATTTTCCAAATACGATATAAAAACATCAAAATCAACATCAGCCAAACTTGGGGGAGAGGCTAATTTCTAAGAGTGGAATCCTTTCACACTCAGCAGCTAAATATGTAAATATTTAGGTATAAGAAAACAGACAACATATACACAATGTTTTGCCCACAAAATATAGTGTCAATTCACTTTACAGTGTATTCTGTGAAGCACTTTGAGATGTCTCGAAGACCTGATAAGGCGATATATCAAATGCAAGGATTATTATTATAACAACAAAATGACATTTGTATAGCGCCTTTCACGTCAGGAGGACGTCCCAAGGTGCTGGACAGTCAATGTTTCAGACCGGAGCTGAGGGGCGGGATTGGGGAGGTTGGAGGGCAGTGGGAAAGGAGGGTGATCAAAGGCATGGTTGAAGAGGAGGGTCTTGAGATGGGTCTTGAAGGTGGCAAGGGAGAGGGAGAGTCGGAGAGACTGCGGGATGGAATTCCGGAGGGTGGGGCAGAGTGGCTGAAGGCCCACCAGCCAATGGTGGGGCAGGCGAGTCGGGGGACTTGAAGCAGTCCTGAGCGGAGGGAGAAGGCAGGTTGGTAGGGGGGGTAGGAGGTTGCAGAGGTAGGGGTGGGGGAGCAAGGCCATGGTGGGCTTTGAAGGTGAGGACCAGGATCTTGAACTGTATCCTCTGTGTGATGGGAAGTCAGTGGAGTCAGCCAAGAATGGAGGTGATAGGGTCACAGAGCCTGGTGCGGGAGAGGACGCGGGCTGCAGAGTTTTGGATGATCAGCAGTCTATGGAAGGAGGAGATGAGGAGGCTGACAAGCAGGGAGTTTGAATCGTGAAGTCTGGATGTTATGAATGCGTGTATGAGGGTTTCGACGGCCTGCGGTGTGAGACAGTGGCGGAGCCGGGCGATGTTGCGGAGGTGGGGGAAGCCAGAGCGGGTCATGGTGCGGATGTGGGGTAGAAAGGATAGTCGAGGGTCAAACAAGATGCCAAAGGTCCGGACTGGCTTAGCAAGGTGGAGTGTGCAACCATGGATGGTGATGCTGTCAGCGCCTGAGGTGTGGAGGCGCTGAAAGGAGCCAATCAGGAGGGTCTCGGTCTTGTTCAACTGTCGAACATTAGCTCTCATCCAGGACTTGATGTCTGACAGGTAACAATAACAACATGCATTTAAATTGTGCCTTTCATTGAGGATAGCATCTCGGAGTGCTGCACAGTGCTGGGTTGGATGAGAAGGGGGAGCGGGAGGTGCAAATTAAATATAGACAAAGAGCGGGTGAAGTGGAGGGAAGTTGAATTGAGCAGAAACTGTAGATAGCAGATGAAATTTAATGCAGAAATGTGTAAGGTGATATATTTTGGGAAGAAAAATATGGAGAGAGGATACACGCTAAATGGTAACATTTTAACAACACCAAACAACAAATTACCTTTGTATAGTGTCGTTCACATTGGGAGGCCATCTCAAAGCACTGGACAGTCAATGATGTGTACCTTTGAACTGGGGCCTGGGATTAAGAGGGGTGGAGAGCAGGGAGAGTGGGGGTAGCAGGGTGACTGAAGGCGGTGTCAAAAAAGGTCTTGAGACAAGACTTGAAGAAGGCAAGGGAGTGGGCGAGTTCTAGAGAGTGGGAACAGAAAGGTTGAAGGCCTGTCCGCCAGTGGTGGGATGGGTAGGGCGAGGGACGTGGAGCAGGCCTGAGTTTGCAGAGCAGAAGGAGCGGATAGGCCAGTATAGTGTTACAGAGTTGGGGAGGAGCAAGGCTGTGGAGGGCTTTGAAAGCGAGGTCAAGGCTTTGGAACTCGATCCTCTGGGTGATAGGGAGCCAGTGGAGCCGGGCGAGGATGGGGGTGATCGGTTCAGGATCTGCAGAGGACACAGGAGAGGACACGAGCTGCAGAGTTTCGAATAATTTGCAATTTGTGGGGGATGAGTTGGAAGACTGACGAGGGGGGAGTTAGCCTGCTCGAGCCTGGTACACAGGCACAATTTTTTTTTAAAGTTGGCAATTTGAAAAAAATTCTAGTTTTTATTAATAGGGGTAAAGAAGAAATGTAAAGAGATAATCGTTGCTTAGGATGCAATTAAGAGTATTGTGTCTAGTTTGGGGCTACTTACTTTACAACGACAATTTGCATTTGTGCAACTCCTCCCTCCAGAGGCTGCAGATAATCCAGAACTCTGCAGCCCGTATCCTCTCCTGCACCAAACTCCGTGACCCCATGTCCCCCATTCTCGTCCGACTCCATTGGCTCCCTATCCTTCAGAGGATCCAGTTCAAGATCTTGGTCCTCACCTACAACGCCCTCCATGACCTCGCCCCACCCTACCTCTGCGACCTCCTAACCCCCTACCAACCTGCTCGCTCCCTCTGCTCAGCCGGCTCTAGCCTGCTCCACATCCCCCGACCCATCAGCCCCACCATTGGCAGGAGAGCCATCAGCTACTCTGTCCCCAACCTCTGGAATTCCATCCCCCAGTCACTCCACCTCGCCCCCTCCTTAGCCTCCTTCAAGTCCCGCCTCAAGACCCTCCTCTTCAACCATGCCATCGGCCACCACCCTTCCTCTCCCTGACCCCAGCTCGGGTCTGAAATGCTGTACACTGTCCAGTGCCTTGGGACATCCTCCCGACGTGAAAGGCGCTAAACAAATGTAATCTTGTTGTTGTTGTTTATGTAGTTTAATATTTTGGAGTGCTTAACAGAGACACTCATCCTTTAGGAGGGCCATGGAGAGTGTGCAGAGATGGTTGTCCATGATGAAGATACCATGTAAGAGAGGCTTTATTTCTGAGGAGAGTCTAGAGAAACTGGAACTGTTTTTTCTAGAACCATAATAGCTTTTAAGAGCTTTTAAGATGCATGTGAAACAGAAAAATATGAAAGGGTGTAGGAGCAGAGAAATGGGCCTAAATGGATTGCTCTTTCAGAAAGCCAGGACAGACAAATGGACTGAATGGTCTTCCTCTGTGTTGTTAGATACGATGATCACTGGATGGACATTATGAAATAATATGCCATAACCTCCCTCCCCCTCAGAGCTTCAGGGCAACACTTTCCTTAAATATATTAACTAAAGTTGGGACCTCACTCACCATTCTGGACTGTCTGGCATGAACATGTGTGGACCACTTCATGGTGCAGCACTTCCATAATGCGACCAGCCCATGCCAGCCTAATAGGGATAAGGACTACTGTTTATTCTATGTCCCTGGAGTGCATAATTAGGGTAGAAAATTTGAGATCCAAATTCCATCTAGATTTAGCCTATAAGATCATTTTGTCTTAAAATTTAAGATTCTTAACTTCAACCTTAATTTGGAAGTCAGTTTCCTGTAGTTCTTAAATTCATTCTTAATTTAGAAGTATTTTAAGAATTTTCCACAATTCTGTGCCATTTTGCATTTTAGGGCAAAAAGGTGTTACAGGCTTACACCAGGTGGAATATCAGTACTTTTATACATTAAATTAAAAAAATTCCTGTGATGTGATCAGCAGCCATATTCAACTTGTCCTGGAGACATTTAATGATCTCATGTCAGTCATTGTTTTATGTCAGACATCTT